CCTTATGTACCCAGTTCGTCCACGATCTCCTAGAATATTCAGTAAGACAATCATTCACTCATTTACTTAACCAATTAACTTTTCATTTATATTTTAATTTTTAATTTTATAATTTAACCGTAAATCACGGAAGACAAGCAATACATGTATTAAGGAAACACAACTGAATCATCTTACCAATTCTAATATATTATCTTGTATTTAAAACTGTAAAATCAAATAATCAGTTAAAACAGGACAAACAGTAATAAATACCCGATTCTGATTGCATTAATAACCTGTAGTTAATTCTAAAAATTTTTAAATTATACAAAATACCGTTCGAAGTTTTTAAATTACACAAAATACCATGTTATTTATAATTAAACTTCAGTTCTATAATAGAGAAAAAGACGAGAGATTCTTATCCGAATCGGTGTCCGAAATACCAAACTTCTACTGCGCCTACTAGTAGTCTCCAAGTTTCTTGAATTTTTTTACAGAGATTGAAACACGCTTTACATACCTAAAAATATCTCAAAATCCCAAAATCGGTGTTAAAAATCATTTCCTAGCCAATTTTAAAATTCCGGCACAACAACATCACTGTGCTCCAGCGTCGGCATCGCTGCCCGCAGCTGTAGTTTGCCTCGGCCTAGTTGTTTTCAGCCAATTTTGGCAAGTTTTGGCCAATTTTATACCAATCTCTGCGAGAAAGCACGTTAGGGGGCCTAAGTTGGCCATAAAAGGTTAAAAAAGGAAAACCATACGGCGGTAGAATTTTTTGGTGCGGTAGCTCTGCCGACTCACCTTCACGGCTGGACGTTTTCCTTCGGTCAACCTGTACAAAATAGAACGGTGATTGCAATGGTAGAAAAATAACACGAAACAAGAATCGGGAAGGGCTCAGTAGAGGCGGTTACAGTTTTTTGCCAACTGCAGCACCGCCGGACTTTACCCACGGTTTTCGATTCATCTGTTGTTCTTTTTGCTCCAATTTGGCCATGAGTGTTTTCAAAATCAAGTTCCGAGCGGATAGGATAATTTTTACCTTTTTTGGCGGTCGAAGGTAGATCTAGCGCAGTGACGGACGGCGGTTGGCTCCCTTCTCTAGCGACTGGCTCTTCTTCTCCGACGGGAGGATAGCGGCTAGGGTTTGGGCTTGGTGTGATGCGAGATATTTATACCGATATCGTATTAATCTGGACCGTACATCGTGATTTGATTTCAGCCGTATGATCGCCTTTAAGAAAGAAACGAATTTGGATCGTTCATCTCGTTTAATCGCGATCGTCCGATCGTGCTTGAGGAGGAAACGGTTCCAGATCGTCCACGTGCGCAGAAACGCTTTCGGACCAGCTGATTGCGGGGCACGCAAATCTCCGATGTGGCAGCTCGCATGGCTCCGAGTCATCGTGTCTTTATACGCTGTGTACTCCAGTTCGTTGGGGTTGCTGACGAGGCGGTCCTAGGTGGTGCAATTTTTTTTAATTGTGTTCTAACCTCCAGTTTTGGATTCTTATTTCACAAGCACCATCTGAACCCAAAGTTTCACTTATTTTTTCTAAAATTATTTTCAATTTCGTCCTCAACCTATTTTTTTCCATAATTCACATTAAATTAAATTTTATTAATTTAAAAATTAAATTTTTATATATTTTTATAAAATTTTAAAATTAGTACCGGGTTAAATTCTGGGCCCGGGTACTATAGTTGCCTCATACCAGACGAGGTATCGAGGAATGATATTTTTGGCAGTCATACCGGATCGGGTATAGGGACGGCCGGTTAATTGATAAAGTTTAGATATTGGTTCACGCATAGTGGAATATTCCTATAAACCCCAGTGATACCAGTAAGCAAATACAAAGAGAAAGTTGTTGTTTTTGCTCATTTGAATATGAAATCATGATGTTATTTGAGTTATTGTCTCTATAAGTCGGCTTTGAAAATCTCGCAACGGTAAGTATGCAATAAATAATTTTATTTATGATAAATGAATTTATTTAATTTAAGAGCTCCATTGTTTGTTTTTATAATTTTTACTAATTTTCAGTTTCTGTATCAGTGAGTAGTGTGATATTCTTACTGGGTTAGTGTAACTCACAATTTCATTAATTATTTCGTATTAAGAGGGCCAAGGTCCAGATCCCGATCAACAAGAGGGTTGTGAATAGTTCACTACCCGAACTCCCTTCAAAAGCTAGTGAAGGTCCTCATAAGATACTCAGTTGTTTACTTTTCATTTATTTCTTTGATTTTTGTTTGTTTTTTTAGAAGGGACATTCCCTTAAGCTTATTGGGTATTTTGAACTATTGTGTAAGGAATGTAAACCCTAATTGTAACGGCCCCAAAAATTTAGAATGAAATATGTGTATTAAAAATTTCAAATGCGGAAGCGTAATAAAAATTTTGATTAACATCCCATACACTAAAACCAAAAAACGTGCTCAAAATATAAAAGAACAAATTAATTAAAAGAGATACTTGAAAATAAGAACTATAAATATAACTACGGAGTCTTTAGGCGTCCCCTTCGCCGTCTTCCTGCGGAACGGGCTCGAGAACAACGTCTTCCTGATCTGAAATAGTTAAATAAGGAATGAGCTACACCAGCTCAGTAAAGACATCACACTATCTCACCGCCACGGAAGTAAAGGTGGGTAGAAAACACAAAAAGACCAATGGAGCATAATTTGTAATAAACTCATTTATTAACATAAAAATCTTTACTGTCCACTTACCTCTGTGAGGTCCATAAAACAACATATGAAAACAATAACATTATCATCATCATGAAATCATATGAACTGTATAACAAAATACTTACCACATCTTTGCGTTTCAATCATTAAACAATATATTTTCCTCATTTACCAGCCTACTAGTATCCATGGGGATTCATAGGGGTCCCGCTACTCGTGAACCCTTAACATTTATAACCTGATTCCAGAGCCGTCCCCATACCCCGTCCGGTATGGGCACCAAAACCATGAACCTCAATACCCCGTCCGGTATGAGGGTGAAACGGGCCGTCCCCATACCCCGTCCGGTATGGGCGCCAAAACATATAAGATCTCCATAATCCATCCGGTATGAGAGACCACGTTCCCGGTAGGGTTCCCTAAGGACCGGGTCCGTCCACCATCTCCCAGGATATCTAGTCAGACTGTCCACTTTATCCACTTATCAATTCACATAACTTTTTTGCCCTTTTTCTTAGTTTTAATCATCCAAACACACACAACATGTAAATCAGTAATGGACACCAGACAAGACAACACAGTATCGAGTTCATCATAATACAAACTATAATAAAAGAAACCATAATTCATGCATACGAGACTATAACGTAATTACATCAAACATCACGCTGCATTTAATACTGGAAATTAAATCAAATAATAACAGACCAACACTGTATCGGACTCGGGCTCCATTGGCAACCTTAATCAATTATACATTTATAAAGTCACACAGTACAGTTTAATTATTTATCTAGCTTTAATACCGTGATAGGAAATAGGGTGATGGGTCCTTACTTATTTCGGAGTCTGAATACGGCTCTACAGTGCGCCTATAGACTGTCCCTAATTTTTCATTAATTTTTTTTGGGGAACTGAAACACACTACTGGTACCTGCACGTGTCCCAAAAAATTCTAAATTAGACCTAGGGCCCCTTTCGGCCAATATCGCAATTCCGGCACGGCGGCTCCGCCGTGCTCCGACGTCGGATCTGGGCCGTCCGATCGCGCGCACGCGGATCACCCGCGTGGCCCGTTCCCTGGTCAGTGTTGCCTTGCCATGCGGCACGTTCTAGTTGGCCGGGGCTGCTGACCGGGCCGCTGATGTGGCTACTGACGTGGTGCAACTTTTCTAAATTGCGTTTTGACCCTGGTTTCTGATTTTCTTTTCAAAAACACCCACAGAATCCAAATTTTCACCACTTTTTTCCAAAATCAATTTCAATTAAGTCCAAATAATATTTTTACCCAATTTTATCATTTTTATTATTTATATTTTCATTGAATTAAATTAAATTAAGTTAAATAAAAAAATCAAATAAAACAAAGAATAAAAATAAATAAATAAATTTATGATTTTATTTCCTTACAAGTTATGGAGCTTTACAATCTCCATATTGATGTAAAACTTATAAATTTAATCAAAAACTTTATCACATAAATTAAACAATAAGATAATTAAAATATTATTGATATATATTAAAATAAATTTTTAGATAATAATATATTTAATATATTATACAAATAATTAGATCGTGAACATAACATTTATATTCCTAACAAATATGTATATATCTAGTATTAAATAATTATTATATAAAATTAATTTTATTAAATTTATTATATTTTTGAGTGAATAAAATATTTTTTGATGACTAAATTTCTATATTTAAAATAATTATAATAAATTAAAAATGGCGATATAATTTTTTATTTATAAGAAAAAATTACTCAAAGATATATACTGTTGTAGTAAATGGCAGCAAATTTGACCAACCTCACGTGGTCAAAATATTTAACTTTTCATGATTAAAAAGATCTGATTGCAATTAAATTATTTTGCTGTTCTTTTTCCAAAATTAGAGCGACATTGAATGAATTATTTATTATTAATTTTCTTCAAAGAGAATTAGTTGGTGACAGAATTGAAATAAGAGATGACAAATAAAAAAACCAAGAAAATAAGTTGCAAGTAATAAATATTTCCCAGCGTGACACGTGGCATTTTTGAAACGCTACGTTTTGCGAAAGATAAAAGAGTTTAATTCGATCTTATCTCAAAACACTAGAGAACAAATTCATATTTTTATATCTAAATTATATAATAATTTAAATAGTTATTTTAGTTGATGTATACGACTTTTATTGTTTATCCAATTTATTAGATAAAAGGTAATTAATTATTTATTGAATTGGAATAAGGTAATTAATGTAGATAATACATTAAATTATTTTACAGCAATTTAAAAGGACGTTTTTAGTTGGACGTTTGAATACGGAAGAGAAAAACTACACTTCGTATATACGTGAAAACTGCATTTCTATCAGGTGCCGTGTCAGTGAGTGGGTATCTCAATCGGGAAAAATGATTAGAAGATCATTATTTGGGCATCTTACTCGAGGTTTCGCTTCTAGATTTTTAAGAAGCCCTCGGGAATTCTCCATCTTTTCCAGTGAATCAGAACCAGAATCATGGAAATCAACGGAGGGTCTGATTCGTTGTTCTGCAAACTATGCGCCTCTGTCTCCGATCGTCTTCTTGGAAAGAGCAGCCAAAGTTTACAGTCACACGACCTCTCTTGTCTATGGTCCTGTCAGGCACACATGGAGTCAGACCCATGAACGCTGTCTCAAGCTTGCTTCTGCAATTACCCGCTTGGGAATTTCTCCTGGAGACGTGGTGAGATTTTCAGCTTCTTCTTCTTATTTTCTCTTCTTCTTTTGAATTTACCGTATCTGATCTGGGTTCTTTGCTTTGTTGATCATGGGCTTGTTTATAGTGATTTTGTTTCTCGTATTTGAGAATTTTTTTTTTTTTTTCTAAAGGGTAGAAGCACAGCATCTTGTTTCGTTTTAGCCTTGCAATTCTCCATGGGTTCCTTTGTTCTTCGATTTGATATTAAGAACTAAGAACATATTGGTTTTAGATGCAGATGAAAAAGAATGTTTAGGTGATAAAACTTTTGGACATACAAATTGAATCCCTGTTGTAATTTCACTTATTTTGTTCTTGATTATTTGTTTATTTTTCTATGATATTCCTTGAAATTTCTAACTTTTTTGTTTGAAAAACCTTGATGATGAATTGGTTATAAATACAGGTAGCTACTTTTGCTCCAAATGTACCAGCCATGTATGAGCTTCATTTTGCAGTCCCAATGGCCGGAGCAATTCTTTGTACACTCAATGCTCGCCATGACTCAACTATGGTATCTGTCCTGCTTAGACATTCAGATGCGAAGATTGTTTTCGTAGACTCCACGTTAATCAAAATTGTAGTTGAAGCACTCAATCTTTTAGCAAAGACAGATGCTAAACTCCCAATCCTTGTAGTAATTTCCGAGTCTAACTACACATCTGACACATGGTTACCTTCTAATGCATTTGAATATGAAAGCTTTTTAGAAACTGGAGAAAGTAGATTTTTAGTAAAAAAACCGAAAAGTGAATGGGACCCTATCAGCATCAATTATACTTCAGGGACAACATCAAGGCCTAAGGGTGTAGTTTACAGTCATAGAGGAGCTTATCTTAATACCTTGGCAACAATTCTCCTCCATGGAATTAGACCATTTCCTGTTTATCTCTGGACTGTGCCTATGTTTCATTGTAATGGTTGGTGTTTAACTTGGGGAATTGCAGCACAAGGAGGGACTAACATATGCCTTAGAAAGGTTTCTCCAAAGGGTATATTTGATAATATTGTTATGCACAAAGTGACCCACATGGGAGGTGCGCCTACTGTCCTCAACATGATTGTGAATTCATCAATAACTGATCAAAAATCGCTCCCTCATAAGGTTGAAGTAATGACTGGTGGATCACCGCCACCACCACAAATCTTAGAAAAGATGGAATCTTTAGGTTTTAGGGTAGATCATTTATATGGTCTTACAGAAACTTATGGTCCAGGTACTCATTGTATTTGGAAGCCTGAATGGGAATCTCTTCCTCATGAAGAACAATCAAAATTAAAAGCTCGTCAAGGAATGCAACATCTTGGACTAGAAGAAGTCGATATAAAAGATCCAGTTACCATGGAAAGCGTATCAGCTGATGGTAAGACAATCGGAGAAGTTATGTTCAAAGGAAACACTGTCATGAGTGGATACTTTAAAGATTTGAAAGCAACAAAAGAGGCCTTCAATGGCGGTTGGTTACATACTGGAGATCTTGCTATTAAACACCCTGATGGATATATACAAGTAAAGGATCGATTAAAGGATATTATAATATCTGGAGGAGAGAATATAAGTAGTATTGAAGTTGAAACTGTTTTATATAGTCATCCAGCAGTTTTTGAGGCTGCTGTTGTTGCTAGACCAGATGACCACTGGGGACAAACACCTTGTGCATTTGTCAAATTAAAGGATGGATCTAATGTTAATTCTCAAGAGTTAATTCAATTTTGCAAGGATCGATTACCACATTATATGGCACCTCGAACAGTCGTATTCGAAGATTTGCCGAGAACTTCAACTGGAAAAATACAAAAATTTTTATTGAGAGAGAAAGCAGAGGCCATGGGCAGCTTGTATTAAGCAGCAATATCAATGATAATTGATCTTCTTCATTGTCTTATAAAATACAAAAACATCATTATACTTATTTAGATCATATTTGTTATTATCAATTATCCTTATTTTGGAAGAAAAAAAGTAAACTTAAAATATAAATGTATTTACAAATCTCAAAAAAAAAAAAAAATACATATATATATTTAAAAAATATATATATACACATTTTCAAGTAACATACAAACTGGCCCCTCCGAATAATTGGCTCTTTATCTTTTTTCAACGGATAATACTAAGAAAAATATTAATTGAATCGTATGAGTGGTTCGATGGATCCCGAGTCGTCAACCAATGAAACCACCACCACAACTCCTCTTCTCCGGCGGCCCGGCTGGTTTCACGGCCGTCTCTGCAACTTCACCGGAATCTCCTCCGAGATATCGGGAGCTGTCGGCGACCTCGGCACCTTCATCCCCATCGTCCTCACTCTCACTCTCGTCTCCGGTCTCGACCTCTCCACCACTCTTATCTTCACCTCCTTCTACAACATCTCCACCGGTCTTCTCTTCGGCCTCCCCATGCCTGTTCAGCCCATGAAGTCCATCGCCGCCGTCGCCGTCTCCGAATCCCCACACCTCTCCCCTTCCCAAATCGCCGCCGCCGGCGCATCTACCGCAGCCACCCTCCTCTTCCTTGGCGCCACCGGTCTTATGTCCACCTTATATCGCCTCCTTCCTCTCCCCGTTGTTCGTGGCGTCCAGCTCTCCCAGGGCCTCTCCTTCGCCTTCTCCGCCATTAAGTACATTCGCTACAATCAAGACTTCGTTACCTCCAAGTCCACAACTCCCCGTCCCTGGCTTGGTCTCGACGGGCTCGTCCTCGCTGTTTCTGCTCTCTTGTTCTTGGTACTCTGCACTGGTTCCGGCGAAAGTTTCTCCGGCGAAGATGACGTCAGCAGCAGCACCGTCTCTCCGTCTCGCCGTCGTGTACACAGGAGATTGAGAATTTTGTCTGCCATTCCCTCTGCTTTAACAGTGTTTGCATTTGGGTTGTTAGTATGTTTCATCCGCGATCCTTCCATCATCAAGGATCTGAAATTCGGTCCATCCAAATTCCATGTGTTGAAGATCACATGGGAGGATTGGAAAATCGGGTTTCTCAGAGCTGCAATTCCTCAGATTCCCCTATCCGTATTAAATTCAGTGATAGCAGTCTGCAAATTGTCTGGAGATTTGTTTCCAGAAAGAGAATTATCCGCTACCAAGGTTTCTATCAGCGTCGGAATCATGAATCTAGTGGGTTGCTGGTTCGGCGCCATGCCGGTTTGTCATGGTGCAGGTGGGTTAGCGGGTCAATATAGATTCGGGGCGAGAAGCGGGTTATCAGTGGTGATTCTTGGGTTGGGGAAATTGATAATTGGATTGGTGTTTGGGAATTCATTCGTGAGAATTTTGGGTGAATTTCCAATTGGGATTCTGGGTGTTCTTTTACTTTTTGCTGGGATTGAATTGGCTATGGCGTCGAGAGACATGAACAGCAAAGAAGATTCATTTGTTATGCTGGTTTGTGCTGCGGTTTCATTGACCGGTTCTAGTTCTGCTCTGGGTTTTGGGTGTGGGATTTTGCTCTTCTTGTTGCTGAAAATGAGAAGCATGGAATGTTCTTCTTCTGGGTTTTTTCTCAATTTCAAATCGGATGACAGTGGCGCCTGATCAAATTCCTAAAACCTGGAAAATGGTGAAGGTCAGACTAAGATTGGTTTATGTTTTGTTAATCAAGATTGATTACTTATTGTTCTAGAGAAATTATGTTTGTATCAAATTAAATTCTATCAGACAGATTGGGTAAACTAATGATCGAATGAACGAATGTGTTAGGCAGTTGACCGGTGGCACTGCATTTGTAGTAACCAATCAGCTTCTTTAGTTCCTTGAATACTCTTCTTTCTTGATTTTGAGTAAGCAGAGGTTTGGTTCTGATAACTTGTGGAGAAAGTGAATGATCCACTGAGTTAAATATGTTATCATATAGGATAAAAAATTTTTGAAAAAAGATGTGTTAAATTGAGTTTGGTAAATGATGTAACCTGTCAATTGAACAACTTTTTATTTTTTATTTTTTTTTTAAATAAAAAGTTAAGATATATGTGTATGTATATATCATTTATAAAGAAATATTTACAAAATTTAGCAATGGGGTGCCTAAGCACCGAGCCCATCGTAAAAAGTTGGTGTCATGTCATTCTATACAAGTTCAATTGAGATCAAAATGAGGACTAAAAACATTATTAAAAGGAGGGCCGAGAATTAGGAAAGGATCCATAGAGGAATGAAGCTTAACATTATATTTGTCTACATATATATTTGCTTGCTTGAAACAGGCTTAGGGTTTTTATTCGATTAAAAATTTCACAAAACTCTGTGATAATCGTTTGAAAGGGCTTAGAGGCATGCGATGAGAAGAGAAAAGTTGACACAAAGAGTCAGTTATTTGGAGTACAACACAGAGAAGAAGCTGATATCCAATTTGTTCGAAGTACATAGATAATTATCACAGATGTTGATATATTTAGTAAAAGAGAAATATGCTCTAATTTTTTGAATACATTGAATGTGATATAGATACTTTGTTATAATAGTAGCATACATGAATATTTGTTTGAAGTCTTAAATATAAGATTTTAGCTTATATTTTTTTTAGAGTAGAACATAAGAAATCCAATATGTTATCAAAAGTTATGGAATTTGTTCCAATTTGACGGCCAGAGTGAAACAAATTATAGAAACTTGTCCAAAAGAGAATGCAGTAGCAGGTTCTATATTGTCTCTGCTTCTTGTTGTCCGTAAACATGCAAAAATAAAAATACGAGACAAATCATTATAGTAACATATATTTGATAAAGACTGTGCCAATATAAGATTTTTTATTATAAGAAAATATGAGATATTCATGAAAATATATGATCAAATGAGTTAGGAGAATTCGTAAGATACATAGACTAAGTTTTACATTGAACTATATAATAGGTTGAGTTAGTAGTGAAATCTGGTATGAGAGTATAGTTCCATTTCCGGGAGTCTTGGAGTTTTGTTTGCATGGCTAATAGAGTTTATGAGATGAGCATTGCGGTAGAAGGAGGAAATTATTGATAAAATATTGGAATTTTTTAACAATCTTTTTTTTTTTTTTCCAAAACATTAATAAGGATATTTGATATAATTTAAGAATATTAGTATATGATACGTTGAAATGCTAATCAATATATATGTGTATATTAGCATTAAAATTTGTAAGTATGTATGTTATAGTGAATGCACACTACAATAATATCTTTTTTTTTTTAAAAGCATAAAAATTAATAAATACAAATGCAAAACAGACAGATATCTAATATTTAAATAAAACTATGAATAGAAATATAATAAAAATTTAAATAAAAATGGTGTTTATATTTTATTTGAATTTTATATTCAATTCAAATAAAACTTTTTATAATTCATTTTTTAACAATAAAAGATTTGATATTGTAAAGGTAAAAATATAAATATAATTGATCAATTTATATGTTAAATATAAATAATTTAAGCATGTTAAATAATTAAAATATCAAAAAACATATTTAAATCAAACTCTATATAAAATATCAATTATGATATTATAGAGAAAAGAGAGTATTAGATAATATTTTTATGGATAAATTAATTATTAATTGAAATAATCTCAGGTTTAAACAAATTAACAGGTCTCATTATTTAATGTAGACCCATAAGATATTTATGAACACTTACCAACCCCACATTAATTATATGATGTTTTTTGTTATATAATTATATGAGGTTATTAAATAATTCTCTCATTGCATTTATTTTGAGGTTATTATCTACTTTTTTTTTCTTCTCATATTTAAAGAGGAATATAATAATAATAATAATTAATTTTTATGAAGATAGAGTTCTCATCTGATTTCACTCTTATCTTCCAATTTTCGAAAATATCACTTTGATTCAATTAGAATTTGAAAGTGTATACTCGAGCCCAGAAATTGAGACGAGATTAATTTTAGCATTAAAAAAATATGTAAAAATTTATTAAAAAAATTAATAAATTTTAATTTAATATAGAATTATGAAAAAAATAAGTTGACAATGAAATTAAAAATAATTTTAGAAAAAAATGGTGAAAATTTGAGTTTGGAGGGTATTTTTGAAAGAAAAATTAAAAATTAAGGATCAAAATGCAAGTAAAGAAAATTGCGATACATAGGACCGCTCAACCAGCAATCTCGACGAACTAGAGCGCGCCGCGTGGCAAGGCACACTGACTCGATGCCATGCTGGCGATCCGCGTGCCCCACGATCGGACTACTTGGAAGCGTTCCCGCGCGCGTGGACGGTTCAGATCCATTCCCTCATCAGACGCGACCGGACAATCACGATTAAATACGATAAACGGTTCAAATTCATTCATTTTTTAAACATGATCAGATGGTCAAGATCAAATTACGATGAACGGTCTAGATTCATTTCCTCTTTAAACGCGTTCTGACCGTCGAGATCAAATGTGATGAACGACTTAGATTTACGGGAGACGAGTATAAATATTTCGCATCACACCGAACCAAAACTCTAGCCACCAGCCTCCCATCGAATAAGAAGAACTAGTTGCCGGAGAAAGGAGTCGACTAGCGCCCGTCGCCGCGCCGGAGCTACCTCCGACCGCCAAAAAAGATAAAAGGTCTCATATCAATTTCGAGCACCTCCATGACCAAATCGAAACAAAAAGAACGGCGGGTGAATCAGAAATCATGGGCAAAGCTCAACGGACGCCGCTGCGGACAAAACCCGTAACCCTCTAATATGGAGAGAAAAATTACGAGTCAAACTTTGAGTAAAGTTTACTATATCTAAAATAAATATAAAGTGAACTATCGAAAACAAAATATAAAAGAAAAAAAATTAATTAATTCTCTTTATTGTGTGAGAAGAGAGAGAGAGAGAGAGAGAGAGAGAGGGAAAATCAAATAAAAGAAAATGAGGATGCTTTGACTTTGGTGTACTTGTAACGATAGTGAGAGAGAAAAGACTAAAAAGAAACACGAAATGAACACAAGACTCTTTTTTTTTTTCTGCTTTCTTCTTGGAAAACTATGAAGATTTGGAACATTCTCCAAAAATCCTACGAATACCATTCCTCTGAAAATCCGCAAGATGTGAGAAGCAAATCTTTTTCGGTTACATGTACAGTTTATTCTTATCTTCTTCTTAATAATAACAGTTTTGATGACTCGTAGAGTAACCATACTCAACAAACTTAGTTGAATAATTAAACAATAAATTATGATTCGTTCTAATTATTATGTAATTAAGAAATAAGTTGTAATTAGTTAGCTAATTAAGTTCGTTAATTATGTATATATAAATACCAAGATGTTATTGATGAAAATACTAACTTTTATTTGATTTTACCAAAACCCCCCCCCCCCCTTAAGATCTCTTCCTCTCTGCTCCCCCAGTCTCTTCAGATTCTTCACAGCTCATCTAGATTTCCTGTGTAAATCTTTAATTGCTTCCCATTTAATTTTCCAACATGATAAGAAGCTTAAATATATATATATATATATATATATATATTAATGTGTAGATATAAGAGATATATTTAGATCTGGCACCCGGAACTTAGCAAATAATGGATCATTTTTTTAATATAACTTAATATAAGATTAAATTTGAAACTAATTCTTCTTAAATATGAAGAAAAGTATCTTAATATATATTTATAATGTAATTTTCAATATCTGTTTAAATTATTTATTTCATGCAAGCTTTTTATTATTTTGATCTCGTGTTTTTCTGTGTAATTTTAAAAGGATTAGCTCTCATTTGGATGATGGATTTAAATAAATTAGCTATATCTAATCTCTAAAAGGAATACACAATTAATTAATTTTAATCAAATACTTTATTCATCCATTTATTTCTTTTATTATATCTATCCCACGTGAAAAGCAGTAAGTCAACCCTAAATATTATTAGCATTTGTTTAACATTTAATGTTGGCACCGAGCAATCCCCCTCTCTCTCTCTCTCTTTCTGCGCACTTCCATAAATAGCATTGGAATTTCTAAACGCCAATGAGAGAGCTAGTTGTTGTTGTCTCTCATGCTTTTTGGGTTTTTTACAAGCGAAGAAGAAGAAAATAATGGCTGCCGCCTCGTCGAAAATCCCCATCATAGATTTCTCCGTGGCAGGCCTAGAGCCAGGCACCAGTTTATGGTTCTCTACATGTCAACAAGTTTGCAATGCTCTCGAAGAGCACGGCTTTTTCGAAGCCATTTACAGTCATGACATGTTTCTTCCTAATCTTCATAAGAAAATATTTGATGTGGTTAAAGAACTTTACGATCTCCCCACAGAAATCAAGAAAAAAAATCGCAGCAGGCCTGGTCGTGACTACTACTCTGATAACCAGTTACACGAAGGAATGGGTATCGATAGCGCAGACACTCTACAAGGTGTTCAAAACTTCACCACCCTTATGTGGCCTAATGGAAATCATCAATTCAGGTACATGCACTTTCAATCCTTTCTTCAATTGCTGGCGTCTCTTTTCTAAATGGTTGGTATTTTCATTTAATTTTACGAAATTATGAATTCATTGTGTTTTGTGGGTATTAGTAAGTAAATACATCTAATTATTAAAGTAAATAAATTTCTACTAAAAAAAATAATAATTATATATCATGTATTCAACTTAGATATACAAATAGAAATAATTATATAAACTACAAAATTATCTAAAAATTTTCCTTTATTCAAGTTCAAAGCACGTTATAATGAATCTAAATTTATTTTATTTTTTAATTTTGTGTTCAGTGAAAATGCATACAAAGTGACAAACATCATAAAGACATTAGATCAGAAGGTGGTGAGAATGGTGCTTGATTATTATGGTACAGAGAAGCAGTATGATTCTCTCATAAAATCAACAAATTATACTCTGCGTTTTTCCAAGTATAAAACATTCAATGCC